CATTCCTCGTAGGCGTACAAACCTACTTGGCAATAAACAAAATTCTGATTCTGATTCTGAAGCTATCTGTCCATCAGGAAACTGTAAACTGAGAGTTGCGTAAAATATGATTGTTTAATCAAAATCTGTAGATAAAGTTATAAAAGTGTGTTTTTGTACGATAACCAGTGAGGCCACAGGCCATGAAACACTCTGTTCTGGTGGCGTCTATCAATTTCTAACCTAATTCTTGTCTCATTTGTGGTTTGAGAAACAATAAATTCATCAAATTCAGTACCTCATATCGCTTTTTTCCAAGCTTCAGACAGAGGGTAAACAGAGGGGCTTCATAAAGGGCCAGGGTATCAGATGATTAACGCTTTTTTTTAAACCTTAATACGATGTTGGTTTATGGCTGGGGTGGTTGCTCAGTGATTCCTGGAATGTTGGGGTGGTTGCCACATTGTTATCAGGTGGTTGTTGTGGTGTTGTCCATGTGTTACTATGTGGTCACTGTGGCGTTTTTCTAGCATTAGCATCAAAGAATATGAAATATATGAAATATGAATGCTCCAGAAAGAGGTTTTAACGGTAATGAAATGCGAAGGTTCACATATTTCACAGTTCCTTCAGATAACAAGAGTCTCCTCCAGTTGCCCAACAGGAGGCTAAAAATAGTCTTCAGAGTGAGGTCACACTCTGCCCCTCAGGAAACTGATAAGGCAGACTGTCAGTCTCCTACGCTCTGTAGTTTATGTTAATCAGATGTACTGTATGAACAGGTATGAACAAGTTTCCATCATTCAGATCCAGAGTGTTTTTTAGGACGTCAGAGCTCAGCTGCTGTTTTCACTCAGGCGGTCAGAAATCCCCCCCGCCGGTCAGACTGAACATCTGAACATCAGTCTGCCTCTCAGGAAACATGAGCTGGGATCAAATGAGATGATGCTGTCAAATGACCTCACCTGCTTCTAGGTGTTGTAGCTGTTTTGAGTCTAGTGTTTGTTTTTTATGACAGTCTTGGTGCAGAGATCTTCTCTAACCTGTGAGTGAGCTCAATGATGCTGCTTTCACGTTACAGGGATCTCCATGCTTTCTACTTATTAATACTTACATTTGATGAAAAGTATGTCAAGGAACAATATTATGAAAGACATGAAGGACAACTTTTGTTTGTTTAGGGTTTTTTTTCAGTGATCTGTAGCTGATTGAGAACCAGCAGAAACTGCAACTTGGTTTATTAATGTAGAATAATAACAAGCGTTCACAGTCACATTGATGTAAAAGTGTAACAATGACGGAGCCAATCAGTATAGACAAAAGTAATTAATTAGTTCATTTATAATTAATTAATCATTTATCATATTGGCGCTGTTGGTTCCGGGAATTTAAGGCTTTAATGACCTGATGAGTAATGAGGTTTTTAGGACTAGATCATATTTTGTCCTTACACATTTTCAGTCCTAAAATATCCAATTCAATTATATTATGAAGCAATTCAGGATTTTCCCCTCCAAAATGGTTAATTTTACATTTAGAACATCATGTGGGAACATAACATTTACTGAAAATCTTATTGATCAATAAATAAATAAAATGTATAAATAACATTGTATAGCGTGGTTGATCACAAATGTCTTATATAGGTGGGGTGTGTCAATATTACTAAAATCCTGTCTGATAGGACTGAGCTGTGCAGGAAACTATCTTTGATATTATATCGTTTTTATTTCATAATTTGTTTCAAAATCTGGTTACGATTCCCATCACAGTGTTTCTCAGTCAGTAAGTATTTTCAGATTGTTTTCACATGTTTTATCACTGTCATTTTCCTTCTCCCGCTGCCTCCCAGTTTGCTTCAGGATCCAACAGATGTTACAGAATCCTCCTCCTGCTCCTCCTCCTCGTCCTCCATCACATCCCTCCACCCTGACCTTCCTGCCTGTGGCTGAGAGCAGAGGAAGCACAGAAAATAAAAGATGAGGTAGAATCCTTGGGGATAGTCTCCTGATATACTTCATTTTTACCAACATCTACATGTAAGCATCTACAGCTCTTCTCCACTGCAGTAATAACCAACCTGTAATACTGTTTATCCCAGAACTTGAACTTTAAAGAACCTTTGATAGGAGAAACTTTTTGTGTGGTGATGTTTCAGATTAATGATATGCATCATTAATAAAGAGGAGAAATGAGGACGACTACGTCATTTTTATGTTCTGTTTGGTGGGAGAGGGGAGTCAGCGATGGAAGTGTAGCTGGTGATCAGACTTACTCTGAATTCAGGTTCCTGCTGAGACTGCCACAGATTGGTCGGTGAGGAAATCATTTAGTTTTTCAGTTTGCTACGCAGCAGCATTTATTTTACTTTAATCCGGTTTGGTCTGGATGTTTTTCTTGCTCTGTTTGGCTTTGTGTTGAACGTCTGAGAACTCTTTTGGTTTCCAATCACTGACTCCAACTCATTATGAACAGGCTCTTCATAAACCCTGATGAGGGCCTCTCTGCTCATCTGATTCTGGTCTGGAGGCCATGAGGTGATGTTTAATTTGGAGACCTTGTGGACTGCAGTTAGGCAGTGATGTCATCGAAACCTCCAGGGACGATGGCGCTGCACTGGACACACCTCCTGTCTGTCTCCAGAAATAGACCTATAACACAGCTCCATTTATAATTTAGTATTACAGTATAATTTAGTCTACCTTCCAGCAGCTGTGTAGACAGTGGACCAGTTGATGCTGCGTCTGCTTTTGGCTGATGGTGACATTTAACTCCAGTTTGTGTAAACCACAAATGTTCTTATGACCTTAAGTGACCTAAAGGAAAAGTGAAGTATGTTCCAACCATAAATGTGTCTATTGTGACTCTATGGGTAACTTTGCACTCACCATCTCTATTGTAAGTTGCCCCTATTGTGCAGTTAGCAAACGTGGCTATTCTGTTGGACTTGAAAAGTTTTGTGTAACAATCATGTTTGTTTGGAAAGCCGTAATAGGCTTGTGCACCTTGCTTCGATATACGTTGTTTAATTCACTGAATCTCAACAATGGAGGTGGCCCAACAGCCACATTTAAGGAAAATATGCCAGGTTGAAATAAACAGGAATTTTCCTTTAAGGCCACTGGACCTCCTGAAAGACCCCTTGTTCCACCTCAAGGACCATTCAGTGATAACCTCCTCAAGGGCCAGTGGAACCACCTTAGGGGATCTTCACTTAAAACTAACCATAAACCGTAAAACTGACCCCTAAATCCTACTCAGGGACCCCTGAACTACCTGAAAGACCACAGGAACCACCTTCAAAATTTCTACAAGAATCACTGGGATCTCTTTGAGGACCACTGGAACCTTTTTAAGGATATCTAGGAACTCCTCGAGAACCATTGGAACCCACTACATGGACCCCTTTTCAAGGAACACTGGGACAAGACCACCTCAAGGGACAGTGGAATCTTCTAAAATATAACCAGAACCGTCTCTGGGGACATCGGAACCATATTATGGAGCCACAAAACTTCCTCAAGGACCATGGGACCTGCTCAAAAAGACACGTCTCTCGCTCTTCACAAAGACCACTACAACCTTTAGGACTGCTGAAACCCCCTGAAAGACCTCTAAACCTATTCAGGGGCAGGTAAGAAATGAAAACCAACAACAAATGTACCTTGATATCATTTTACTGAAGTGATACACAGATGTACTGATGAAATAAAATTTTCACTTTTCCTACACTTCCAAGTGTTCAGTAAGGGAAGTGTTCATTAACTGACTGAATTAGTTTGTGAAGGTTTGAACAGAAACTTTCTGCAGGCAGCAGCAAATATGAACCTTCTTGGAGGTTCATTTCTTAAAATTAAAGCTATGTTTTGTTCAGAAGGCGGAGCTGAACAGGAACTAATGATTGCAGTGTTCAACAGAAACCTTACTCAGAATAATGAAAACATGGTATTTTTCTGTTCCAGATCATGTTACTATATGAGACTGTCAGACACAGACCACCACAGCGAACTGCCTCATTTAACTGAACATGTTTTAATTTGTGGCAGCAGAGATGAGACAGCGGCTCCTGATGACATCAATTCAGCCTCCGTCAGGTTTACATCCTCTCATGAGTAAAAGGCTCATGCTGTAGCTCTGATTACATCCATTAGCCACTCTATAAAATGTTCTCAAGGACCCCTTCCTGAACAACCCCCGAACCTTGAATAGGCCCAAGGACAAAGGGAGCCTTCAAGAACTCCTACAACTGTCTAAAGAACCTCTTCAAAGACACTTGGAACTTCTTCAAGTGTTGCTGCAGCCTATTTACAGACTGCTGGAACTCTCTCAATGACTCCTGGAACCTCCCCAAGGATCACATGGAGCCTCTTTATAGATCACTTGAATCCTCTCATGGAGATTTATCATCTAGCAATAAAGTTGCAGACTGCAACTAACTGAACATGGCTCACGTCTGTTTTTTATTCATTTATTTAAATGTCTTTTCTGAGGGAAAACTGGCCAGGACAGCACACAATTTGACAACCTGGGAATGAGAACAGGCTGTAAAGCGTCTAGGAGAAACTACGGTGGCTGTGAAAGGCCCTATCTAGAGCCCTTGTTTGGTTTGTTTATTCTGAGCTTATGTAGAAGCATGGTGGTTCAACATGGTGGACTGCACAGACAATGATTCTTATTAGGGGATTATACACTAATGAAAACATACTTATGAATATTACGTTCCATTTCTGCCAATAGATCGTCCTAAATGTTACACACTGGACCTTTAAATACACCAACTGTAGAATGATCATTTAATTAGCATACTGTTTTATTTGAAGGGTCTCTTTGTGTGTGTGTTGGTGTCTTGGTGACTGAAGTTCTCTGCTGCCACCTGCTGGTCTTCTTTCAACATCAAAGCACCAAAAACACCACATGCACAACTTTACTTCCCTTTTTCTTTTTACAGTTTTTTGCAATTGCCAAGACACAAAAAGTGGTACTTGTGGCACAGTGGGGTATGCTAAACCATAAGCAAAATGTCTGCTTTTACAATCAGTTTATTTATTTGGTGTTTGTGTGTAATGTTGTGATGCAAAAATAAATGTTTTAGTTTTGTACAGCAATAGTTTGTGAAACATTTTATATAGGATATCTTCCATAACCATATATATCAAGACCACAGGTGTGGTAATGGGACAGACAAAGAGACGTTATTGCCTTGTGTGGACAAAAAACATATTTTTTTGCGACCTCGGGAGCTCTATAATATCTCACTGTTTTAACATTTCAGAAAATAATGATCAGGTGGCATACTCATTTAAAACCACTGAAGCACAGAAACAAATATCTCTTAATATATCCATTAGAAATGAGCTGCAAACCTACATTCAGTCTGATTTAAGACTCAACAAACGTGTCTGCTGGAGGACTGAAACACTTCCATTCCAACCACAATGTATCATGCACATCAATAGACACAAGGGGTTAAACACCTGAAGGAGTCAGTTTAACTTAATTCTGATCTGAACCACAGCTAGTCTCCACTTTAGTCCACTCCACTCCCAGCATTAAGGGTCAAAGGTCAAAGAATTGGTCAGATTTCCGTGAAGTATCAAAGCAAGACTGCCTCCTACTGGACTATAACAGAGTTACACACATGCTGATTTGTTAGATGTATTTATATCATCCATTTGTCTCAAAACAATGTCTACATGTCAAAAAAAAATATATAGCCATTTTTTTCTGTGTAACAGCGTCCAATCCTGTGGTTTGAATTTTGGTGGTGGGCGGGGCTTCACTTAGCTTTACATCATGATCACTGATTGGCTGCTTAAGGCTCAATTAACTACTTTAAGCGCATATCGAGGTTTTGGCAGCTTGTTTCAAAGACAGTGAAGTTCTTGGTGTGGTCATGTGACAGCACATCCTCTCATGATGTCATCACTCCTCTAGGTTTCTGAAGCCTTCGCTGAGCAGGAAGTGAGGTCGGAGTAGGGACACGATGGGGCCCTGTGGGGCCCCGGCCAGGCAGTACGCTTCGTCCACGCTCACGCCGCGGGACCGCAGCTTCTGCAAGGCACCGCCGCAGCTTTCCCTGCCGCCACGAGACGTCACCAGGACGATACTGAGAGGGCTGTTGAACATGCCGAACCTCTGCCGCATCTCGCCAAGCTGAGTCGAGAAACTCTGCAGAGGAAGAATGTGACTTGAATGAAGAACTCTTCTGCATGAATTAAAAAGTAAAGGTGATGTATCAGCAGAATGTTACCTGAGCGACCTGTCGGCTCACTGGCGTTGGGCCAGTGTCGGGCTGGACAATGGCGTCCCCACAGAACATTACTCTGAGCTGCTCTGGAGGACTGAAAGCAATCTGCTGGTCCAGCAGCGCCGAGAGAACACCTGGACCAATGACAAAGAGGATTATTCACCTTCTAACTTCACAATCACCTGAACATCAACACATTATCAAAACACGTTAAATGGAGGAAACTACGCAAGTTGAAAGTGAACAACATTGCTAATAATGCTTATGACTAGTAAAGTATCAGGACAACTGTTAAGCAAAACAAATTCTAGATGCCAGACACTTATTTTGAAGTAAAGTTTCAGAACATCTGCTAAACAATGCTTAAAAAGGTCAAACTATATTCTGAGATTGGATTTTAAATGTCAAACTGTTATCCTCTGATAAGATGTTTTATCTAATTTTCTCTTCAACCAAATCAGGATTTTCAGGCTCCACGACCTGACAGACTGTGATCCGCTGTAAAAAGCCTCTGGAGGTTCGTATCCATCACACATCAGCTGTGATAAATGACAGAAGAAAAAAAACATAACTCTTTACCACTTTGTGACGCTTGCGTTGCCTCGTTTCTGTCTGTTGTCAGGAAGAGCTGCACGCCATTTGTCAGTAAACTCTCAATGAAATCCTCCTCGCTGGAAAAACAGAACCTGCTGACTTCGAGACCTGCAATAGAGTGGTGAAGACATTGTGACAGGAAGTCAACACTGTCACCAACAAGACCACAAACTTCCAACAACTCATCAGCTACTAAGTGTCATCTGTCTGCTGAAAGCTAAAGTTAGATTGCTGATTACCGTAATGTCTGGTGCTGCTGCTGATGCGGGAGCTCTGCTGCTGTTGCTGGCTACTGGTGGTGATCAGGACGACATCAAACAGCAGCGACTCAGCCGGATTTTCCTCCAGCAGACGTTCATTCACTCTCTGCAGCGCCTGAAGAGTAAAACTATTTATTAGAATTAAGATTATCTGACATTTTCCTTCCAAGCTCTCAGTCTGGTGTTATTCTATAGTTTTCTTATTGTCAACAAGTCCACTGGACCTCCGAATCCCCGCCCTGTCTGTGGCTCTGAGCTCCAGGCCCACTGGTTCCCACTGAAGACTTAAATCTTTAAGAAATGCGCCCAAACAGTAATTTCCAGCTGTTTAATGTAGTTATAGCAAACATTACTCAAACAGGCCGACACAGTGCATTAGTTGGCTATTTTCAGAGGCAGATTGAAACACGTTGTGAGTATTTGGGGCAGCAGGACAGTGTATGTGGGACTGAGTCAAAACAAACTGCTGTGTGTGTGTTCATGGTGATGTAGGAACATGTCACCCAGTGCAACAGTGATTGTGTTTGGAATAGTTTTTGACTACAGTGGAGCTCTATGGCACAGAGAAAGAAGATATATCAGGCTTTAGATACACATTAGAAATCAATTTATTGTTGCTGCATATGGGATTTGTTGACAAGAAAAATATAGAATACGGCCAGACATTTTAAAGACTTAACAGGCACAGAAAAAGGGGGATTTTGTCATTCTGTCACACTGCTATACATGCTTTTAAGATGTTCTCACCTGCAGCAGCGGGAAAGCCACGCCCACTCCGCACACGTCATCGCCATCACCAGCTCCACAGTCAAACACAGCGCGAGACGTTACCGCGACAACCGCAGCACGAGCAGCATCTTTCTGCAGAGGAGACACAAAACCTGCATCTTCATCTGCACTTCATCCAGAAACCAGCAGTACAACACACACAGAACCGTCCCCGAACCACCAGGAAACCAATGGACAACATGTATGAAATCACACCTAAACAGGACCATCATGCAACACTGCTCACAGTACGATTCAAATAACAGAGTTTGAAGTGAAACCTGAATTTAAACTCATTTTAACATTTAAAATTCATATTTTTACACATGTGTTTGTGCATGAGAAAACGCCATGTTATTGTGCGTTTGTTTTACCGTCTGAAAGAATAGTTTCGCTTGTTCTGTGCAGACAGCTTTTCTTGAATTTCTGCACAGGTTTTCCTAATTTTACCCTCATATTCTCCGGGCCGAATTCCTCTTACAAAATATGCGATTTAAGCATTGCGTCGCTAACGGGTTAAAGTATGTCACAGTTAAAAAGAAATTGTGCTGTATATTAAATCAGATTATAAATAATCATCAATTCGGCATCCATTGCAAACACTACACGGACATTTTAATATATTAAAAAAGTCATTTTTAACTTTCTCTTTAAAGAACTTTAGTGCAATAGTGGGCTGTATAATTATTTATGAGCTGAATTTTACCGTTACAAGATGCTCTAATGGAAATAAAGAAGATGGCATTAAAATACCTGATTTTTTAAATGTAGTTTGGTGGGAAAACTCTGTGAAACTGCACAAAATACAGTGTGATACTTCTAATGTTCGTCGGGGCTGGGTGGCAGTGTTTCTACAGGTATGTGATCTCGCCTGTCTCACTCTTTGGGGGTGAGACAGATACAGACTGATCCCTGATCCGCCCCTGATATTTCCTGCAGCCCCCCCCATTGGCTCACGTACCCAGTGTAATGTCTCAACACCGACTAAATGAGGTTCTGGATAAGTTTCTGCACAGACATGAACCCTAACGGCCTCAGGTGAGTCTTACCTGCTTCACGTCGGTGTTCTGGATCGTGGAGACCATGTCCGCCTCTCAGGTCGAACCGGCTCTAACAGCTGGACCTGCTGACCTGTTCACCGTCGCAGCAGCTGTCTGAACCAGCTGTCAAACTAACTAAGTTAACTTACTTTAAAGTTCCTCCAGAAACAGAGGACAGCCCGTTTGGGTTCCGCCTGCCTGGACCCGGACGTTGCTTTAAGAGTGCAGCGTGATGGCGTCACTTCCTTGTTTGTCTGCCGCCAGCCGCCCCGCCCACAGCAGTGATTATTGTGTCAGGTAGGGAGACACGGTCTGGAGACACGGGCTGGGTTCACCCCCTAAAGACACCCACATCTGGACTAACTGTCGGGACAGAGAAGGGGGGGCGGATCTGGAGCGGATCTGAGAGTAGCCCGGTCCGGTTTGGAGCGGATTTGACTCGTTTGGGAGCGGGTTTGTAACGGGTGTGGACCGCCTGGAAAGAAAGAAGGAGGGAAAGTTTAATTCATTTTCTGTTCACGGTGAGAAACTCTTCATCTGTCCTCTCTTTCCTTCCTTTCTTACTTCCTACTCTTTTCATCTCGGTCCTCTGAGGTGTCCCGGTGTGTTCAACCTAGACCCCGCGGTCCTGTCGAGGTCCTGTAGGTCCTCCTTGAGGTCCGCAGGTGAGCAGCAGCTGATTGGCTGTCAGCGACCCAGGTGGCAACAGAACCAGAGACTGGTTTCTGTCCTCAGAGACAGACTGCCTGTCTGTCTGTCAGTCAGTCAATACCTGTCAGTCTCTGTCTGTCTGTCTGTCTGTCTGTCTGTCTGTAGGCAGTGTCTGATTGAACCAGTTCATTTCATTCTACATGTTCAGACAGATACAAGCAGTCAGACCAGTCAGACGGCTCCGTAATCTTCAGACTGAACAACACCTTCAGCTGTCTACAGACAGTGTTTCAGACTGAGCTATCACTGAGGACGTTGTGGGATTTAACTCTGACTGTATTGAAGTTAATGGGAAACTCCCCGACTTCTCTCAACCAATACAAAGTCAATGCCGTTCTTACACATCAAGGTCTTCTCTCAGCAGACCTCTGACCTTCTTCTGATGTCCCTCTGTGGGCAGAACAAGTAGTCTGATAGAGGCTACAACCAGCAACTGGTTAACATAGACGAGCATAAAGACTGGATACAGGGGGAAACGGCTAGCTTTGGTAACAGCATCAACCTACCAGATCCTTTAAAGCTCACTAATTAATACATCATGATATTTATCTGATTCTTCAACCCCCCACCCACCCTGAATGTATGCATTACATTAATGCACTTCCCCTGGTTTGTATCTTTGCCTATTGCAAATATAATTGTGGCACACTGCTAACTTGCAGATTACCCGGTCAATTTGTTTGCAAATTTCTGTACAGCTCTTCACTCATTTATTTAATCATTTGGCCATATTGTTTTTATTGTCTCTTTTTGTTGTCTCTATTTTTATCTTTATAAATATTGTTCTATATTTAATTGTTATGCACCAACTTACCAAGGCAAACTCCTTGTATGTGAAAACCTACTTAGCAAAAAAAAACCTGATTCTGATTATATCCCGTTTATTTAATCTGTACTGAAACTGAAATGTAAAAAACACATTTTAGCACTTTGCGGCAGTTATTTGCACAGGACTATTTCATGCAGCTACCAGGCACCCAGTGGAGTGGAAGTTACTGGTCCCAGCCAAGAAATAGTTACCCCCTGTAAAGCTGTGTTTTTATGCTTTGGTTTTTGTATTAAACAAACCAGATGCAATGTGTATATTTGTGAACTCAAGAGGTGGTGATATGTGGCTTTTGTTTTCTTTGCACAGGCCGGCCATTTCCCCCTGTTTCTAGTCTTTATGCTAAGCTACGCTAACTGGCTGCTGGCTGTAGCCTCATATTTAACAGACATGAGATAGTGGTATTGATCCTGACATCTAACTCTCTGGCTAAAAGGGAATAAGCATATTTCCAAAGATGTCGACCTGTTTGTGTTGACTGACGGGTGTGTCTGTCAGTCTGTGTTTTAGTTGAGTGAGTTCGGAGTCCACACAGACTCTACAGTCATGTTTTATGCCCCCCTGTGTTATCTGGAGAGCAGATGATGAAACATTTCCTCCTCCCTGGACAAACAGTACGATGACGTCCCTGTGGAACATCTGATATGTTGTTTGTATAAGTCTTTAAGTGAGCTGGCAGACGTGTTGAGTGCTGACTCTCCCTTTGTGAAGCTTATGATCAGTTAGTGTTGAAGGAGCCTCACATTCAGGTCAGTAAGAAGACATGTGTGTTCATTTGTCAGACATTTTGGTCTATTGTTTCTGCTTTTCACCCAGCTCCAGGTTCAGTGGATCTATTTTCTTACTGTCAGCCTGTTGTCTCTGGCGATGTTAATGGGACCCATGAATATCTCTACAAAATGTCATGGCATTCCAACAGTTGAGATATTTCTGACATGTGGACTGACCAAGCAGTACTACCATCCTTAGAGCCATGCTGCTCAGCTCTCAGTTCATTATTGAATGTTTTGTGGATCATTTCTCCATGTTCCTCTTCTCTTTCAGTCTCTGCAGCACAGTTGTCAGTCATGTGTAGGTAGAGACTGGCTCCACGGCGCCCACCATGCGAAAGCATCTGGACAGGATCCGGTTCCGGGGTCAGAGACGGGACGAGTTCCTGGATCTGGCCGAGTCGCCCAACACGTCAGACACAGAATGCACCGAGGAGATCGTGATTAAACCACGTACCTCCGTCAGAGAGACGGAGGAGCTGAGGGAGGCGGAGGGAGAGCAGCAGCAGAGTGAAGCTCAGGTACACAAACACACCTGATCTGATTTGATTTGACACAAACACAGACAAAACATGAGTGTAACAAGATTTGGAGCTTTGGTATCATCTGTCCATCTCTACAGACCATCTCTATAGACTGTGAATATAGGAGGACCTAGGGTTGAACCTTGTGGCACCCCACATATAAGAAAAACCACAAGCTAGTGTACTGTTACTTTAGTTTCTTGAAACAGATTATTTCCCCACTGTTGATGTATCCTATTTTCTACACTGTCTGTTTGTTTAATATTTTTGTCTGTGTGTTTGTGTTACAGGCTGGTCCAGGATCATTTTCTGCAGCTCTCCAAGAGGACCAGAGAACAGATCTCAACGAGGTCAAAGGTCACCTAGAAATCGCCTTGTTAGAGAAACACTTCTTACGTGAGTAGTCTGACCAGAACTGTAATTTGTGTGGCGTTTTATAAAACTTCAATTACATAATGTGAAACTAAGAGAAATTAAACACAATTCATACAAGTGTCTGTCTTACAAACAAAGTAACTGGTTTACAGATCGGCTTTAGCTTCAAGCATCACCTGGGTCTTTATGTGTGGAATGAAATCTGTGAATTTTATCTTCATATTTCCAAAGTTAATTTTTCTCTGTGAGATTTTATTAAGAATATTTATTAAGAAACAACCACTGAGATTCACACCATTTAGTCACACCCAGAGCCAATTTGTTGTTCCAGTGTCCCTCTCTTTCCCCCCAGTTGCTACATTTGGTTTCCCACCAAAAAATCTTAATAACAAAATCCAAATTTCTGTACGTTTGTAGTTGGGTCATCGAGGTAAGCAGTAGGTGGCGCTAATGCTCTAGGCAGGTGCCATTGTACTATTGTAGAAGAAGAGGGTGCAACAAGATGACATAGTTAAGAGTGCCACTTAAAATTCAAATGGAGGATAGAAAATTAAAAAACATGATGGAAATATGGCATGTGTGTTTGTTTCCTGTATTGATTTTAAGGAAGGTTACAATCTCTTCATCTCTCCACTCAGATCTGATGTTTTCTTGCCAACATTTATGAATACGTTTCTATTGAACTTTGCTGCATTTTCTTTTAATTCATACACCAACCTCTCCACTTCCCCCAAGCCCAAAAACTTTCTTTGTGATATTATGACTTTTTAAACTTAAAATATGTGGCCTTTCCACTCAGTATTCTTCATGCGCAAATTCAAAATGCACATTAAAACAGGTGGATGGAAACCCACCTACTACACTGACATGTTTCAGCTGGGGTAAAGCTCAAGTAGACCTTGATTTATTATTATTTTGTCAGTCTATCATGGTCAATAATAAAAAAAAACAATAGAAAAACTAAACAAAGTAAACTTCCCCTTCTAATCAGTGCAGGAAGAGTGTGTGTTGATTTCCTGGTCATTGTGGAGTTCAGCCCAACAGTACAACAGCACGCTGGGTAATCCATCAATATCTGCTTCTGCTTTATGTAACACACACACAGCTATTAATAACCATGCTGACCTGATCTGACACCCCCCACCCGACCACACACACACACACACCCACACTCACACAGAGTGGTGAAAAAGGACCTTGTGTTTCCTTCAGTAACAGTTGTAACTTAATGTCTCCTCATGCTCTGCTTGGTCAGGCCATAAAGAGGCCCCTTCATAATGCATTTGCTGCTGCTTGACCCAATACTGTGTGTGTGTGGTCGGCAGCAGGGTGCCACTACCCCTCTGTGGTTACCTCCCAAATTCTGTACCATACATCACAGGCTGCTGCCGTCCACCTTGTATAATCTCATCATACGGCTAAATAGAGCAGATAGCAGTTTAAAATTATTGCAGCTGAAAACAGGTTTAATATAGCAAGTTTGTCAACTTATATCATAAGTGTTGTTCATTGGTCCAGACCTGATAATCAAGCTTTGAAGCTGATGTTGCTGCAGTACCATTTTTTTCTTCATTGATCTGGTTTCATCATCATACCAGTAAAAACAGCTCTCTCGCTGGGATTTATGTAATCGCCATGATCACTAAATCTAAAAAGTAAAATAATTCTCTTAGTGTCACTATCCCTCCACTGCAGCTCAGCAAGGAACACTGTGGGGAAACATAAAACTTCATACTAAAGAGACCATAACTTTGGAGATATTTACTTGATGTGGCTAACTCTAACACAAAAAAAAAGATTGTGGATTTTGTTCCCCATCACGGACAATGGAAGCATGTTAGAAAGGGATGTCTCCACAATACGTACGGACATGAACTTTTACAACAACCAACTGTTTTAATGTACTTATGGGCATAGGAGTATTGTTTTAAGACTTGAAAACAGTGAACCTATGCTTTAATGCTCTGACTTATCTGTTCCAGAGGAGGAGCTGAGGAAACTTAAAGAGGAGTCCAATGTGGAGTCACTGAAACAGGAGCTGGAGAGGGAGCGCAGCAGATGCAACGAGCTGGAGCAGAAGATCAACGACGTCTTGAGATCCAGGTGGTTGTTTAATAAAAACTTGATTTAATGATTGTGGAGACATCAGACAGAGAGGTTTGTTCCTGTTGTGTTATGCTGCTCTGACAGGTTGTTTCTGTCTGCTGGTCACTTCACAGCCTTGAAGACTCACCTTCTCAGACACCTAAACCATCACCCCCGCTCCCTCCTCCGTCTACTGTTAGCAGCACAGGTGAGCTGCAAGAACGCACTCTCTCTTTTAGTAGAAGGTCTGCCTTTGAGTTCATCTGTGCTCCGTGCTCAGTAGAGTTGGAAAGTGGGAGATCTGTTGTCCTCAATGTAACTTAACATGAACTCAATGGCCACTTGATTAGGGACACCTATGCAATATAATGCAATCTCAGCCATAGATTCTACCTTCTGGAATCCTCAGATTTGACTGACACCGTTAGAGAGGTGTTATACCCAGAGGTTTATGCTATAGCCACCAGTTTTACCTTTGCCTCTGAGAAATCATTTGTTTGGCTCAAATACAACAATGCCCATGAGCCTCAGCCAAAGACAGTCAGAGGCGTGAATCAGAGCAGCAGCAAATGTGAAAAGCTTTGCTCTGTGGGAGTTGGCAGTGGGAAACAAGCTGCAGATTGTATTAGCAGCTTGTTGTTCGCGATGCCCATAACATAGTCTGAAGCTGTGTAATTGGATGTTTCTTGCTGAAATGCACCATGGGAGACAAAGGTTAAGTTCTCCCTTCTCTCCCAATGTCCACTTTGTTGCACATTCAGCTTTTTATCAAAGAAACATATTTTCTAACGGGGTCCAAAATTAACTTTTGGCAAGTAAACCGAGGTAAAAATATTTTTTACCGGCAATAAAACTGCATCATGCATCGGCTAAAAATAATTACCTCAAGTTCTGAGACCTCCTGAACCTTTTGAGCTTCATATTTAAGCCAAATCTCAGGGCTCGTTCTGCATCATTCAGACGCCACCTCTCGCAAAAATGTGTTTTTTTTTTTTGTGTGTGTTTTTTATTTGATATCCGTCTCTCAGATTTTCATACAGGACAAAGTTTGGTCCAAACCTTTGTGTATAAACTTGAATAAATGTTAATAAACGTGTTGGTTCAGACTCTTTTGTTTTCCTGTCCTCAGACAAACAGAAGGACAAGCTGTCTGACAGCTTCCTGAAATGGCTTTACAATCGTTTTGGTGTTTATATCGAGGACTTCCGTTTCCAACCAGAGGAGCATACGGTGGAAACGGAGGAGCCACTGAGTGCCAAGAGGTGAGACGGAAAAATCCAGAAACTGTCAGAGACCATTCAGGACACATCCACTTTCTTTAGGAGTAATTTCTTGAAAACATTGTTTATTGTGTTAGAGCTGTATTTGTCGTCAATCTAAATAAATATCTGGTTTCTTATTCACAGGTTGACTGAAAACATGAGACGGCTCAGTAAGTATTTCTGTCTTAGACATCAAATATACCAAACCAGAAAAAAAAACAGCCCCAAACCCAAAGTACAGGGGTGTCCACATACTTTTGGCCACATAGTTTACTTGGGGGAGAAGCAGTTTAGATGCTTTATTTAAAACATACAGAGAAAGAAGAAGGTTTCTCTGTTGTGATACATGTCTGTGATTGGTCAGCTGGTCTGTTGTTGTGTTTCCAGAACGGGGATTCAGACCTGTGACCAACTTCAAGAGGAATCTTTCTGCCTTATCCAGCTGGTACTCTGTTTACACGTCGGCCATCGCCTTCATTGTGAGTCCACACAGAGACA